AGGTATAAAGTTTTTAATAAAAACCATATTTTATAACATGTGTTATTTTAACTTGTCTCATGGGATTTTGACAAACAGGCGAATTGGATAGCATGGGCCAAGGGTTAAGGCTAGTCATGAAATTATGATCTACACTCTAAGTGTTAAAAGTAATATGGCCCTTGATCCACCTTTTGATGTGGATGATTCTACTAACTAAGCCCACGTAAAGTTTATGGAATGACACATTATGATTGACTAATCTATGAGATATTATTCTAGTTGGAATATCTTTTCCAAATTACCATAAGGGCATGTCCCTACCCTGATGATGTTTTATTATTTTCATAAAGTTTTATGAACAATTTTGGAATGATTAGAGGGCATATAAGAAAATTTTCTATGGGACAAGGACAATTTGATAAAATGGCTAATCTAGGGTTTATGGAGTGATAATGGAGTGCAAAGCACATCCATTGATCTTGGTGGCTAGGCATAGATGTACAGCTAGGATCATAGCCCTCTCATGTGCCATAAATGAATAGAATCAAGAGTCTGGAATTTACTCACAATGCCACACCACCACAAGTCTATGTAAACCCTTGCTCTCCCCATTCTCTACACACTTGTGAGCCACTGAACATAGCGAATTGCCTACCATGCCCCTCATTTTCCAGCATTCACTTCCTCCCTTGAGCCTCTCCTCCATTCCTAGGTGAAGCCTCCGACCATGGTGGTGAAGGTGTCTAGTCCCTATGTTCTAAGGCAACCATCTCTACCATTTCCTTCCTATTGTAAGTTTTTTCCCTTTTTAGTTTTTTGCTGTAATTCATCCATTACAACAACACTTTCACTTTATTCCCTTGTTTATGGTGATCTTTTATTACCCTTTTAACTATGCATGTATACAACATAGCATGCATTGTGTAGTCCTTGGATTCTTCCTCTAGACACCATTATCTTCAAGCTTTGAGCACCCGCTTTTCCCAGGATTTTGAGCATTATTTCCATGAGAATTAGTGAGCATTTTGTGAGTGTTTTAGTATCATTTGCTGGAGTATGGATTTGTAGAAAAGCGTTTGATAAATTGCCTCACTATACATTACTATATGGTCGTATTCATGTGCTCCATATGAGCTATTTTCATTTGGCTTAACCAAATTGTTTTGTGCTTTAAAAGTTATCTCTATCTCTCTCTCATTTTGAGTAAAATTAAGTGGTAGATTAGTGACCAAAAGCTTCCCATTTACGCAAGTGTGAAAGCCCTTGTGACTTGCGTAATCTGTGCTATCATCTATGGAACAAAACTAAGTCCCTAAAAGGTCCGCTTATGCGACTCGAGCACACATGGTTCGACCATTAGCTTCCCATCGATTGCTTTCAATTTGCTGTAATTTAGAGCAATATAATGTTTTTGTGCCATGAAGAATTGACCATATTATATTTGGAGCATGTTTGTGTTTATGTCATTTAGCATATGCCCTAATGTTATGTTAAATCCTTGGCCATAGTTGATGCAAATTGAATTTCAAATTTTGGATTATCATGATCAACTTATTTTGTATATTTTTGGTGAAAAAAGAGATTGGACTTGAAGTGTTTGATGCAATTCTAAAGTGATAAGTAATTTGAGGATGTAACTTGTAAAGTGTTGTAAACATGAGAAATTGAGCAGTTGAGTATATTCTTGCTTTTATCCAATCACCTTGTTGCATTTCAAGTTTGGAGTTGTATTTTGTTTTCAAATGAGTGTAAAGCCAGGTTTGGTGGCAGGAATTTATGTACTATTATCAATTTGTAAGAAAAATTTATGTATTTAAAGCTTCTTGTTTTACAATGATAAAAAAGTTCTTAAAAACATGTCACTTGGACTTGGCTTAGAACACCAGAAGATCAGACCAGTTTCCAATTTCGTTTGAAAAATGGATATGTACCCCACCAATCCCAAATTGATTCAGGCAATTGCGAGTCAATTGCAGATTTTTAAAACACTAAGAACACTAGACTTAATGGTAGTTTACTTTGATGATGGCTTGGAAAGGAATTCATCAATTTGACTGCAAGTAGGTTGTGAGCCATGGGTGCGTTGAGTCGACTGAGGTTGCCTAGCATGTGCACTTTCACTCTCCACCCCTCTCCATCATGTTCATAAACCTAATGAACCCATTGTGAAACCCCCATATCATCAGCAATGTGGCTCGAGCTAGCCCTTGAGCATCCCTACCCCTAACCTCCAAATTTCCCAAAGAGCTTGAACTAAGCCCCTAAAGACCCCTAAACTCTAAACTTCCCCAGACAGCTTGAGCTAGCCCCACATGAACCCCTGCCTCCAAACCTTCCCATACCAGTCTGTTGGCAGTATATATCCTCTACACTTGCCCTTCGAGCAAGTTCGAGTTGCATCAAACTCATCATCTCACCCCTCTTGAGTAGACGTGTAGTGGGAAGTTTCAATCTCCTCAACCACCTTCTTGTTCCCAGCCTCCTCCTTTGCTGCTGTGACAGATATATGACAGCACCTCGCCTCAGGAACAGCATCAGCCCTCACCTTCACTAGTTGATGTTTCAGGCGGTTGATACCACCCCTCATCTCCTTCGCACAAAAAAAAAAACAGAAGATTTCCCCTCCTTCCCTTAGGAAGCACCCCGCACCCCATACTCCCAAGAATAATCCTATTTACCCTGCAACATACTCCCAAGCTATGTCAAGTATCAATTGCCAACAAAGCAGTCTCAGAACCCGAACTTACACACGAGGCAATATGAACATGAAGGTGGATGCCTATATTATTTCCAGGATTCTTTTGGAAAAGTGTTTAATTGCAAAAAGAAAATAGTGTTTGGGTGGAAATAGGCTTCCTGAAATTCAACAAAAGCGCACACAGCAAATGAAGGGAAGCATTTCAATGCCCAAAAGAATGCTCGTTTCCAATTTTTTCTCAAAAAGGTCAAAAACAAGAGGAGTTATTTTGCAAATGATTTCGACATGTTTGGATGGGGATTCGCATCCCTGGATACATCATACAGGCAAACACAACAAAAAAAAAGACAGACAGCATTCCCAAATTAAACTTGTTTGGGATTGGCATCATTTAAAATTATGCATGCAACACACACGCATGCACACACACACCCACACACACACACACACAAAGCATTTCAATAACCAAAAATGCTCAATTTTTCCTCAAAAAAATAGATTATTTGCACTCAAACGGGACCCTTTCGATGGGGATTGGTGTTTTAAATGCCTTCGATGCCCAAATACATGTGAAGTTAAAAGAAAAAGGAAAAAACAAAAAGCATTTTTATGCAAAAATCAAAATAAAAAACCAGAAAAGCGGAATAACTCCTGACAAAAAAAGGAATAATTCCTAAGAAATCTAGAATAATTTGAGGAAAACCAGTTAGTCTACAAAAAATAGAATATTTATAAATGAATTCCAATAAAAACAAATGGCATTTTTCTTATTTCTATGCATAACTTCTGCATATGATTCAATAATTAGATATTTGAAGAAAACAATCTAGCTGTTCACAATAAGATAATTGAATTGAGACAAAAAACGATTTACAGCAGACAAAAACCAGAGCTATGCCACGTTGATCTAGGGTATTTTGAAGAAATCCAATAAAGCCTAGAGTTGATCTAGGGTAATTTGAAGAAATCCAATAAAACCTAGAGTTTCACAATAGGGTGTGGTTTCTAAAGGTTGCAACCTTAAACAATCCAATTAAGGTGCACCTCCAAATTTTATCGTAACATATAATTTTGATGTAAAAATTTTTAGGATTATCTGAAATTCTATTTTCATATCCAATTATAAATTTTTGAACTCCAAAAATGGTTAAAATCAAGTAGATCTATAAACATATGAAAATCTTGAAAATGGACGGTCTAAATAATGTGTTGCAAGATGCACTATTTCTGGGACTCAAAATATTTTTTTTTTTTTCATATTCATTCATCTCAATGTCGAGATGATCAATTAGAGGGTTTTCAACATTAAAACAACCTTTTCTGATGAATATTTTAGGTGCATCTATAATTCTACATTTTAAGGTTGCAACCTTATATGAACTTTTTCCTTCACAACAAGATAATCGAATTGAGACAAAACATGAATTTATGAAAACATAAAGCTTGTAAATCAATTACCAGTAGTGTGCTAACCCTCAAACTTCACCAAATCAACCCCAAACATATTTTAGAGTGCTAGGCTTGGATCCACTTGATCTGAGGTTCACCAATAGCTCACCAAACTCAAAATTGTAGAGTTCAATTTCTCTCAGATCCATCACATTTGCAAATTTTTCTTGAAGATCTGATTGAATCAAATGATAGAGGGCTAAAAACTAGCATGCTGCTTCTGAGGGCCTTAATAACGCCCTTCACCTGAGAACAGCCACCTTTTAACTTTTCTTCTGTGAAAATGAAACAAGCAAAAAAATTGTCCGACTCGCCGAGTTCTGACCAACTCGGCCTGAACTTAAGGACTCGAGCAAGTCCAACCAGAAACCATCTGAGTTCAGTTCAATGACAGGGGCTCCACTGGTTTGGGAACGGACCCCGCAGGCTGCTGGACCCAAGTGACAAGGACAAGTCCAATCCCAAGTCACCGAGTTTCGAATACTGATATCTACCAACATTTTATGTTGCAAACTAATTCTCAGACGTATTTTAGACCAGGTTAAGGGAATCCACATCACAATTGTGTATGTATATTGGAACAGATGAAATCAAGAATGAGCTTCATGCATGTAATTTATGTCTTGCTCTACATTGGCAAGGAACAGATTTTGGGCAAGAAATAGGCACAGAATGAACAAATGCCGGCAAACTGAGAATATTTTGTTAGGAAACTCCAAGTTAGCTGAAATCCATAGTCCATTCGGTTGTTGGAGGAATCTAGGCCAAGCAGAGTAAATACGTAAAATAGACTATTCAGTAAATCAATATTAAACATTGAAATAGAAATGAAGAACTCAAGTAAAACATAAAGAGTAAAAATCACTGATACCTGCGGTCACGCTCAAAAACAGAGACACCTAAGGTGAGAACTTTTGAGTAGACCCATGAAGCCGTAAATTGTGACAAGAACATCCCACCAGATTTCTGAGTAAAAGATTGAGAAATCCTTTCTTTGGGGAGATTGGAAATGCGGCCCTCTGATACCTCTATGCACCTCATCACAATTTCCACGTTGTTCTCATCAAGGGATTGGTCCATTATTTGTGCTAAGTCCATAGCCTGCACTCATAGCAGTTGGCATAAATAAGCCATGAAATATCACAATAGAATATAAAATTTCTTCTGAAGAACACAAGCATGAAAGCTCACATAAACACAGACCTCTTCATATGCTAATAAATCACTTCGACTTGTGAAAAGATTGCTGGATATACTGCAGGTATATGTGGGATATCTCACTAGTCCAAGATCTACTAAGAGAAAGGCAGACAAATCTTGCTTTCCATTTAGGAAGAATAGCCTCTGCAAGTAACAACACAACACCAAAAACACAAGAGAACATATTCAGTATAAAGTTTTTGATTATTAATTCAGCGGAGTATTTAAGTCGGTTTTTTTATCATTGAGAATTTAAAGTCATTTAAAATTCAAATATATAAGGGCATATCTACGAGCCCACCCTCCTGGATCCACACTTAGGGCCCAACAGCCCCCTTTGACCACTGCTAGAGACCCCAAAAGCCACTAACTATTGTCCCAAAGAACCCCCTTCATAGGGGAGATAATGAACAATTTTGCCCTCAATCCTGTATAATTTTCTAATAGCTCCCATTCTCTCCTCCCCTTTAACGTTCTCTCTGCCCCCTCTCCTCAAACTCTCGGCTTCCCAAAACAAAGAGCATGAACCATGTCCCCTAACTCCTGCTGGGAATACCAGCCAGAAAACCAAAGCCTATCGAGATCTCATTGAAACCCTCTTCCCAAAGAACACAGAGCTACAATCCCTGTAAGTCTCCACCTCCATACATTAAAACCTATATTCCATCCAATTGTCTTCCCTTTCTCACTAAATCCCCCTTCACTTCTCCGATTGGGATCACTTGCTTCCCATCGAATTCTCTTCCTTTCTCTCTCTAGACCATGAATTTTCCCTTGCATTTCCTCCACAACTGGTTTGATCAAGTGATGCTAGCCCATGATTGTTATGTCAACAAATTCAGATTCATCCATTTTCTTGAGGAAGACCTGAGAAACTAGGTCTCATGCCTCCCTATTAGGGTTTCTAATGGAAATTTCAGGGGAGCTCATGCTCAGATTGATCTCCATTATTGCGACCTTATGTGCTATCAAAATCAAGAGGTGGATCTGCCTCCATACCAGATTCAATAATTCGATTTTCTATCTCTGCTAAATCTAGAGGTCGTGGTGGTTTTCCTTCTCTAAATTGGCAGAGATGAGGAGACTGAATACGGCAGACAAAATACTTGACATCAAGAAGGCTGGCATGACTGAAGGCGAGCTCTTGAGACAGATACTTTGATAGGAGATTCAAAAATTGGTGAACTGATATTCAGCATTTCATTGATTGGAATTTTAGAGATTTTCGTGGTTTTGGTTTGAGATCCCCTTAAATTACAATCATTTGATAGTGATTAGGCTCTTTTTCATGATGTGAGGTCTTGAGGATTTCACAATTTTTAGGAAGAGTGGCTTCTTTCATATGAGATATCTTGAGTTTTTGAAAGTGAGTATTCCTATTTGTTGTTCAGTAAATTGGTGATTAGAAAAATTGGAGAAGTTCAATAAAGGATAAAGGAAGAATGGTTTTCCGATTTATAGTTTGCTTGAAACCTCAACGTATAGTGTGGATTTCTTCATTTGGATTCACAGGAAAATTTGGGAGCTTTGAAGCTTGATTTATGGAAATGTTCATGCATTTGGGGCTCTCAGGAAACCAATAGATTTCATCTGATTGCAAAAAGTCTTGCCAAAAAAAGTCATAATCAGACAATAGGACGAAGAGGAGAGGAAGTGAAGAGAAAGGAGATACAAAGAGTAAAAGGAGCACAAACACATGGTAGAGATTTTGGGTGAGAATTGCGTGCAAAGATTTGTCCTCCCCGCCCCCCCGCCCCAATTTTTTAAGTGAAAGTTTAAAAGAGTAGAAAAGTTGTTGACCTCCCAATTGACTGTATTAAGTGATATTTGACACCAAAGTGAAACGCGGGAATCGGGGTATCCAGTCGATTGTTAAGAGATGCTATTTGGCCCCATATGTATGGTGTGGGTGGGTGGGTCTTTTGTGCGGGGGGGGTTGGCAGTTGTGTTCATTTTCCCAAATATACAAAACACATAAGAATCACCTGGACACGCCAAAGGAGGAACTCAGCCAAGGCAGAAATTCGAACGCAGGCTCCAATCCGTTCGGCAACCATGGTAGGAAGCAGCGAGCTAATAATGAAAATGCCAAAAGCAGCAAGTATTGAATCAAACACAAAGCCAAATGCACAGAACCTATCCAACAGAACAATCAAATCTAGGGATGTATGGCGTACCTACCACGTTCCATCAGCATAGGCAGAAAGAAGCCCTTTGACAAGTTCTTCACGCCTAACCACCCGGACATTTCTCTGTGGAAACAATAAACAGTGACAGAAAATGACATCAGAAAGTATACAACATGGGAATGACTGACAGAGACCATACAGGACAATGAATGGGATGAATATACATTTGAACATCAAGATTTCAATAGTAAAGTGGCTAAGGCTATTGATTTGCAGTTAGCTCCTAGCATTTCAGTTCAATTATCTTTTCAACTAAATAGCCATATTCACCACTGTTTCTTCTCATACATGTTTTGCCGGTTATAGAGCATTTTCATTATAGAGCATTTTAAATTTTGGCGAGGAGCAGACCATTCTAATGCCAATCTTATCAGAAGTTCCATGGTACAGGATACCTATAGCTGTTAACAGCTAATGATTTTATTCTTTTATCAAGCAAGCAATTAAAATATGCTGATATTTACACCCTGTGTTTTTTCAAGTTACTTACTGTAAGTACTACCATGTGTACTTTTAGGACTCAATAGCATCATGGAAATACAATGGTTAAAACCACACAGTTCTAGATGAAAAGAGAAAGGCAAACTATACAATTCAGTATGTGTTCAAGTCAAAAGACCTGAAACAAGGAAGGATATGCATTGAAAATAGGGCAGCACCCTTAATGCATTAATAACCATGCTTGTGACAACAATATGAAATAAAGTTTTTGTTAAGCAAGAAATTTCAGACAGCATTTTTTGCAGTATTAATTTTATCTTGGGTCAATAATCCATGATAAAGGAGAGATTGAAGAAGATGTTGCTCACAGAATTAGAGCTGGATGTACAAAGTAGAGTTGCGCTTTTAAGTCTAATATGTCGTTGCATACCAATGAAACTGATGGGGAAATTCTATAGGATGGCTGTAAGACTAGCCATACTTTACAAGACAGAATGTTGAGTGGTGAAGAAACAACATATCCATAGAATGAGTATAAATAAGATCAATGTTCCAAGTTTTCTCGGACACCTCCACCCCTGTTCTTCCTCCTGGGCCACCTAGAAATCTAGGCCCCCTAGGCACTAGACAGCCGGGACTCCCTCGACTATGTAGGCACCAATGGGGTTTTTTGGTACATTGGCTAAGAAGAGGACGTTGAGATAGATGAGTAGCAAGACAAGGAAGATAAAATTCGAAATAAACATATTCAAGGGAACTTAGGGTAGTCCGATAAGCCATATAATGAGGACATTAGAATTTGGTAGTTTGGTCATGTGCAGCGTCAACCTAGAACAAGACCTGTTATGAGGGGTTACTTAGTTCAAGTGAAAGGCTCTAAAAGAGCAAGGGAAAGCACCCAAAAGATATTGATAAAAGTAGTGAGAAAAGATATATTGACTTATGGTCTAACTAAGGAGATGGCACTTGATAGAGCAGAATAGTGGAACATGATTCGTGTAGCCGACCCTAAATAGTTACAATAAGGCTCAAATTAAGATGACGATGATGATAATTTCCATTTTGTAGTGTGTGCTAAGATTTCTCTTAAAGTATGCTTGGGATTTTTGTCCAGGTTGCAATGACCAGTGCAATCTCCCTAGTGTGGATTAACATTTTCTGGGGATGTTTTGGTTCAAAACTCATCTTATGATGCAGTTAGGTTTTCTATTCTTTTATTTTATCATCTCTTTTTAGGAGATTGAAATTGGGTTTGATTTTATTTGCTTTTTATTTTGGGTTTTTACGGTATTTATGTATTTTTTTGTTGTAAGAATTAAAGGTAAGAATGGAGAATTCAATTTCGAGAAGATGAAGGGCAAGAATTTAATAGGGAATAGAGTTTCTAATGGGGAAGTTAAAGTTTAAAAGTTTCTTCTATAAATATGTAAGTACTAGACAAGGAAAAGAGAGAAGAAAAACTGAAATTTGGGTCTTCTAAAAAGATCTTTCTGGGGTATACTCTACAATTGTTGGAAACGTCTGTGATTCCGAATTGTTTCTGAAATCAGAATCGTGGAATTGCATGTATCAGAAGTTTCGGAATCTAGGAATCGTTGTCCGTACGATTCGGATTTGAGAAAAATGATTCCCACTATTTTGGAATCGCGATTCAAAAAATTAGGAATCGTGTTTTCTATTTGCAAGAATCGATGTCCCTTCATGTTGGAATCATGTTCATACCTATATGGAATCACACATGACCCCACTTGTTTCGGTGGTTGCTGGAATCGTGATTCCTAAAAATATCGAATAGTGATTCCTAAAATTCTAGAATTGTTGTCCCCATCAACTTGGAATCAACATTCTCACCATTCCTGAATCGTGATTCTCCTCCCCATATTAGAATCGAAGTTCTCCCCTTACTAGAATTGCGAACCAATTCCCTCCGGTATATGAGAGAAGTATTCAAAAAATATATAAATTTATCCATTACTACTAGATCAAATTTTGGTATGTATATACTCAGTCCAATACTCCAAGTCCTAATGTCAACCTTTATGATATCTTTGTGAACAATCTCATACAATCGACTCGATCTACTAATAACCCTATTATGCCTATAAGGTCTGGAGCTAGTCTACGGCATACAAGGAGTGAGAACAAGGGCAAGCTCCCTTTATCTCCTTTCCTTGAATTATAAAATAAGTACATGACATAGTAATTCTTCTTTATTAAATGTAGTTTTGAGTCCTTTGACTTTTGAAAATTGGGTTATTCAATTTTTAGTCAATTTCTCTGATATTTAGTGATTAATTTAACCTAAAACACCACACAGGGCACTTCACTCATATCCTTATTATCCTCTTATTTTACTTAAAGAAAAGCATTTTTATCCCCTTTTTAAACTTGAAGAAATGATGGTGTCAATCATATATTAATCATTATTACATTGGTAGTTTAGGACCCACCCCATTTACCAAACACTATTAAATTAGAAGTAACAAGTTTTTTTAGTATTATTTATTCTTGGTAAGAGTTCTTAAAAAGTAACATGGAATGAATGATGGAAATTAGTAAATAAAAAAATAAAAAATTTAACATATTACTTATATTTAAAATTTTAATTTTATTGCCGTGTGCAACAACTTCAAATTCTCTCGCGCTCTCATACATGTCGCATCATGATTGAGCACACATCAAAGTTGTTTCTGCTCTCCCTATGCTCACATATTACTCATATTTTAAATTTGATTTTATTGCCATGTGCAACAACTTCAAATTCGCTCTCGCTCTCATACATGTCGCGCTCACTCATGATTGAACACACATTGAAGGGTTTCTACTCTCCCTATGCTCACATTGCTTCCTAACAACATAAATTCGCAATTCCTTAATACTTTGAATCAACGTTTAGCATAAGTAGAATCGCATTGTTGTGTAGCAAGAAATCACGATGTATGCAATATAGAACTTGATTCCAAACAACATAGATTCGCAATTCCAAAAAAATTGGAATCAATGTTTCTCACAAGCAGAATCGCATTCATAAAGTCCTCGATATGGAATCTTGATTCCGGCAATCTAGGAATCAGGATTCAAACTTGGTGAAATCGCGTTCCGCAAAAAATGGACACGTGATTCCTTTCTTTTAGAATCGACTTTCGTTTGCGGAAAGCCGAATCGAGATTCCGAAATGGAGTCGCTACCCTCATAGCCGATTCGGGTAACTATAGTAGACTCCCTTGTCGACCCAAAGAGCAGGGTGTATTCTCTCACAATTTTTTTACCATTATTTTTCTGGCTCAAGTTACTTCCTTTCTCCCTCTTTTCTACGCCAAGTGGTATTAGAACTTGCAAAAGATCCATTCATCAAACCCACTCACACCCATGCTTGGATCGAGGAGCGAGGATATACTGTTGTAGATCATGGAAGCTGTGAATCAACAAATTATAGAGAGCATAAATCAAGCCATGGAATACTTTTTAAGTCCAGCTCAGCAAAAAAATCAGCGGCTGCAACAATTAGACAATATCTAACACCCAGAATAGCTACTTGTAACCCAATAGATCCAACAACAAATCTCAAACTCGGGATCAATTAAGCTGCATGGCTAACTATGCTGCCAATCCCGTACACAGTGAGCAAGTTTTTAAGCAATAACCACAACCTGTGGAACGTCCACGAGAACTCAATATCAAGGTCTATCTCTCTGCGTTCATGGTTAGCTCCACATCGAGGGTTTTATTAACTTTGAGCTTGGTAGAAATTTCTCTAAATGAAATGAAATGTAAGAGGAGCTCGAAGAAGCACTCATGAATATGATTAATATCCGAAAGTTCCAATACAAGTTATATGTAAGCGTCTCATTCATTGGTTTATTGACGCAAAAAAGTACCCTATGGTGGCTCAATCACCAACTATTTAGGAGACCTCTGAGGATCCAAGCACCTCTTAAAACCAAGAGAATGATGCAGCTAGGTTTTCTATTTTTTATTTTTGTTTATTTTTTTGGATGCTAGAATTGGGTTCGGGGTTATTTTTGTTTTCTTTTTTTTTTTGGCCTTTTATTATGGATATTTATATCTTTTTCACTATAGAGATTTGCATTTTAGAATTGAAATTTTAAATTTTGCGAAGATGAAGGCCTAAGATTTAATAGAGATTAGGGCTTCTCATGGGGCAAGTTAGGTTTTTAAGGTTTCTCTATAAATATGTAAGTTTTGGACTAGGAAAAGATAGAAGAAGAATTGATTTTTGAGTCTTGTGAAAAGATCTTTCAAGGGTAGACTCCGTTTGAGTCTTAGGGAGAGGGTATATCGCTCACTTTTTCTTTTTTTTTATATGTAACTTTAGTTTATTTTCTTTCTCCCACTTTCTCATGCCATATATGCATCTTGGATTACCATTGCACCTTTTGCTTTTACCATTGCACTCGCAAATTGCTCAATAAATAATCATTCTATTAAGACTTAAAAAATTATTGACGCTCTTCATGAAAGTGCTCTAGATAGCTTGCCATGAAGCCTCTCGCAACCACTGTGGATGCTCAATATAACTAGAGAGTTGATGAAGAAACCTGAAAATAAACGGATTAAGGTTTATTAAAGGCAACATATGCACATAGTGCCCAACATGGATCAATGTCCTAAGCTAGGAATTGTAGATTTGTAAGTGTTTCATACCTTAATACTCCATAAGGAGGATAAATTAACAATTTCCAGACTCATGAGGTCAGAAATTGTCATTTAATCTCTTTTTGGGCACTTATCAAAGAAAGACAAATACTGGATGGGGATCTTATGGCACATGGTGCATCCACTCTAGGCATTTGCCCAAAACTTCAGGGATAGTGGTCAAGCTTGACTTTGAAAAGGCCTATGACCACATGGATTGGGCCTTAATCGACGAAGACCTCATTAAAATGAGCTTCGGTTCTAAATGGAGGTAGTGGATTAAAGGCTGTATCTCAAACCCACATTTCTTCGTCCTCATTAACAGTACTCCCAAAAGAAATTTCTCCTCCTCTAGAGAACTGCGCCAAGGTGAACCCCGCTCTCCTTTTGACTTGCAATAATGGCTGAGGTTTTCAGCAAATCCATATAGGTTTCGTGTTGTAATAAGCTCCTCAAGGGCTTCAACGTCGCCGCCAAGGGACCCAAAGTGTTGCATCTTCATATGAATCTTCTAATTTTGCAGAGCCAACCTACAGCAAATGGACACCCTTTAGTTGTACCTTAAATGCCTTGAATTGGCCACTGAGCATGGCCAAATCTAAAATCATGGGCGTGGCTGTGGACCACCAGACTGCCCTCGCATTCGCCAATAAGCTGCGCGGTGGCCAAAGCTCCTATTTTGCGGAGCCAACCTACAGCAAATGGACACTCTCTGGTTGTACTCCAGCCCCGCAGCTTTAAGGCATTGTCTCAATTTTGATGGTGATTTTTTGGGCCAAGAATCGCAATAGTTTTAAAGATCTCACCACCTTAGACTTCCTAAATAGCTGGCAGGGGGTTTTGGATCACAGACCACCAAGAATTGCTCAATCCTCCTTATAGAGACCTCTGACCCCAATCAAATCAAGCTCAACTTTGACGGTTATTCTCCAGGCAACTTGGGTCCAGCGGGTTATGGGGGCCTCTTTAAAGATCACAAAAATGACACCCTTCTCTCCTATTCCGGCGACATTGGGAAAGCAGGATCAACCACAGCCGAAGCAGTGGCACTCTTAGAGGGTATCAAAAGATTCAACCATGAGTGAGAGCCTTGGTAATAGAGGAGAACTCCAAAAATGTCATTGCTAGGGCCTCAGGGCTTCTGCCTGTCCATGGCATTTGGAGCATATTTTTTTAGCACTTTTCACCCTTTGCAGGCATATTCGCATCTCCTTTCAACACATGTGGCGTAATGCGAACTCTAGGGCAGACTCACTTGAAAAGGAAGTTGCTACCTCATGTAATACAACAGAGAGAATCACCCCAGCAGTTTTCTGAGCTAGGTTACGGAAGTTTTGTAATTTTGGACAGGGTGCTTTCTTGGCACAGGATGCTTTTTGTACAGGGTGCACCATTTTTTGTGTAGCAGGTCATTAGAGACCTCAATTTCTACAAGAAGGAGTGGTTTCAGGCCCCAGTAAAGGTTTGTATTACTTTCTCACAGTAATAGAAATAGTGAATTGTTTTTTGGTTGAAATGTCAGTAATATGGGCGTTTTGCTTAGATTTTGCAATTTCAACATGTGAGGTTGGTATTGCAATAGTAAATAACTAGGCAGCAAGTAATGAGTGGAACTTCCATTCTGCAAAACAGGGAGAACATCAAGGCTAACGTTTCTTGACTAGATTTAAAGAAAAAGAATATTTCTAGAAACATGGGCAGCAGACACCTTATTAAAAACTAATAACCAAGTGAATCATGTGAACTGGCACGATGAGAATGTGATATTCCTAATAAGTCAAGGTCTTTGGATCATCATAGAGGGAAGCGAAATTGAAAAAAAAAAAAAAATTAGAAATACAATCAAACGACCATTTCTCTAATTCACTTGGTTATCAGTCCTTTACAGCACAGAAGACACTTTAAGGTGAGTGATAAAGGCAATAGTGAGCACGAGACATTGAGTAAATGTGAATCTAGGTGATTGAAGCTAAGGAGGATCATCATGTTTGATTATTCCCATATTGTGAAGAACCTTTAGTACTTCATAACAAATGATGTGAAGTTCAATAAGAATAGTCATCATGGGGAGTTTAATAAGAATGGCAATAAAAGGGCATATTCTGCAAGATACATATAAATTATGGGACATTATATGAAAACAATGTTGCTTATAGAAGTGTGACATTGTCTGATCCTGCTAATGCTATCGTTTTTTTCAGGGATATGAACTGTCTCAAGCGAAAAAAAAAGACAGATCATATTTCCCTAAAAGTTGTTTGACGTTTTGAAAGGTTTTTTTTCCCCTAGGAAGTATTCAAGAGAAACGAAGGGAGCCACTGAAATGGCTAAGGCACTGCTGATGAAGAATATAGTATAATTTAGCCAGATCGTGCGGCATAGAAAATGTTTCAGATGGTAGTGATGAAGAGAAGCAGAATGAGCATAATGATCTATACATGGAGAACAAGCTGAAATTAATTTAGGTGGGAATGGAATTTTCCTTCACAATTCTGCTTAAGTTTCCATATGAGCATTCTATGAGATCCTGGTCGGATAATAGCATTCCTATAGTGGTGGATAGCATGGTTGTTGACATCAACTTGTTTCATTAGGTAATGGGGTATTGCAGAGGACCTGTAATTTGCAACAGATGCTCATGCAGATGGTTGCATCTAGATAGCATTGATGGTTTGTTAGGCACTTGTTGCCAATCAAGTAGGTTAGATGTGGGCAACACGAACAATCAAATGGCACTAGTGAAGAAGATGCCTGACCAGATCATGTGTAGTTGAAGAAGAATAGGTGTTGATAATATGCTTTCGACGCGAGGCGAACAACATTCAAAGTTATAAAAGCTGCAGCTTTTAGCCAGATTTTTCAGCATATGATCCTGAGACAATACACGAAACATCTAACGATTGGAGAAAAAAATGGACCACTTTGAAATAATGCAATCCCATTGTAGTCCAATGCTTAAGGGACAATATAAATCATTTAAATAGATATAAATGTATGACCCGTATCTGTCCACACTGTTGGACTTGTACAGTGCAGTCATCAGAAGTCAATGCATGGCATTAATCTGGGAGCAAAACTAAGGCAGCATTCAACCTTAGAATGAGCCTTCCACAATGCTCCAATTTGAAATCAAACAACAAAGTACTGGGAAGACTACAAAACAGCTGGCTATGTTACTTAAAACCCTGGTAACATAAATTACGAATCAAACTTTTACATACTTTTTGTTTTTAATGAAATAAACTGTTACCTCAGGAAGAAAAAGAGTAAGTAGCTTCAAGTAAAAAAAAGTCTACAACTTGCAGAATTTGTATTCATATAATATTCTATGATATCTAGGGCAGTACCAATGAAAGGAATGGCTCGACAAATTCCACTTCCAAGAACATCTTCCTTTTGGGGACAAACAAACAACAGCATACAAAGAGCTTTGCTAACATTAAATTTGTACACGTCCCCCATAATATTTAATTTGGATAATAGAAAAGCAACAGTTTGTTTATTTTTCTATGATTGGATTTATAGACTTTGGAAATAGAAACTACAATGTATTGCACATCGCTTGTACAAGAATTGTTGATGTTACAATAGATAGATTTGCCCATCTAGGGAAGAAACAGCAAATGTCATGGGAGTGCAGCAAATCCCCGAAAAAAGGCTTTCTTTTGATGACCCTAACCTTAGCCAGGTATCTTGCAAACTCCTTGGCATCCCCTAGTATAGACCAAGAAACAGGTATCTCAGGAATCTCTTTGGTATTCAGAACAAATTGACTCTAGTTCTGGCAAGAATTGGTCGCTTCTGGAAGAACTGGATATCCAAACAAGAAGCCACTAACTTCTAGAAACCCGTCATTCTCATCACAGTTACTAAGATCTTCTATCTAAGTGGTGCTCCTGCTTAGGAGGGGGAATGCGATCCCAGTGAGTTCCCTCTCTTAGGAAAGCATTCCCACCTTCTTGGAAACTCTTTCCACTAATGTTGTTAGGGAAGGTCCCTCTCCTTTGACAGGTTCCCTTGTGGGATAACAAAATGCGTCATAATATAAATTTTGATAGTTTTCAAGAAGAGCTCACATGTTCATTTTAGACCAAATTTGAAAGGGTACCTGAGCATCACAATACTTTCATTATTTTTTTATGTTTATCTTATTTTTTAATACTTATTATAAGAAGCTCCCATATTGGTCCGTAGCTAGGGAGCTTCTGGAAAACAACAATCCCCCGCTCCCATTCCCACACCCTCTTATTATCTGATGTATTCATAGTGAGAAAAATTCATGGGATGAGCGAAAAATGAAAGAAATACAAAATTTATAAAGAGATACCAAAGAAGACAAAACAATATTATTCAGAATTGAACAGCAATCTCCAGTGGTTAATATGTTGTTAGCATTATGGATTTTCCATTAGAAGTTAAGACAACATTTTCTCAGTAAATCATAAAATTATGATTACAGTATCCAAAACTAGGGTTTCAACTAAAACATACAGTCTGACAATAGTTCCTGCCCAATAATTGTTATTATCAAAAATGATCCCATGATGTGGTTGCTCCTTATTTTCTGATTGATGTATTTACGTTAAGAGGGATCCCAGGGCGCTTGAGAAAAACACAACATAAAAAAGCACTCTAATAATACTTGTTTAGGTAAATCATGACAGCATGATGGCAGAATTGAAATGCAGTCTTGCTTTCAACTTAAACATGCACCCAAAAGGTCAAGCAGATTTTCCACTCATTCAACACATTATTTGTCAACGTTCCATCGACACAGAAATATTCAAGTCAACCAGTATCAACTATATAATGTAGAATAAGCTAATAAATGTAGACCTTCAAACATGCCTGACTGGATAGTTCTCTGCACTCTGAAACAGTAAGCATGTCCAACATCTCCTTTACAATGTTCTCTAAAGGTTCATTTGAATACTCCAAACGATTCATATAACCAGCCGCTGCAAGAAAAAGACTAATCCTCTGGAGTGATTCAAGAAAATTTGTTGAATTAGACTACTTATCTGGAGTGATTCGTTATTCTAAACATGAAATATATATTCTGAATTAATATTGAACATACAAAAAAACGTTACTCATAAAATATTTTACCAAGCAGTCCTTTAAGCGCTAGTTGATGATCTGAAATCTCTGGGTAGTAGACATTTGATATCCGAAACCATGGCCCTGAATCAAACATGAAACAAAAAACAACAATTAAAATGCATGCTTTTCTGATTCCTTCAATACCACCATTGAAACCAAGAAAGAATGATATTCCATAGCCTTCCGTTTATCTCCTTTATTTATCTGAATCTAAAATGTCCATTCAATATTAATCTCAATAACAAAAACCATGATAACAATTTCACAGATTTAATCTTAAGTTAGTGCGTACATTGTGCACATTAAACATAATAACTAGTGATCATCTAAAGATTAGGTCATGCACCTAGTAAAGAGATGGAGTTTGATGGAGTGACCAGCATAGCAATATCAAGCACAATGGTGGACATCGAGAAGAAAACTATTAATGAAGAATCCAGACAAATCAATTTATACTAAATGCTTGTTCACTTTTCTTTATTTCCTTAGTTTTCTTTCATGATTTATCTTTATTAAAACAAGTAACAGAAAATGGAAAGGTATTGGATAGAGTTTGATGAAGTGACCACTAATGTTAAGATCAGACCGGATCGGACGCTCCAGACCGGAAACCAGTGATCATTCCAGTCTGATTGACCCTCCCGAGACTGGATTGTCCAATAAAGTGGTACTGAACCAGTGGACTGGTTGGTACAATGTCTGGAACGGTCAATCCACAAGTCTAGCATTGAACTTGCTAGTCCCGACAAGGCCTGAAAGAGATGAACAGACCTATTTTTTCAAATTTTAAGTCAATTTTTGGGATTTTTGTCTTGTTGAAAGATTCAGGGGCAGTGTGGTCTATTCTATATTTCATATAGTTTGGGGTTAAAGATGTGGATTTTTAGAGAGAGAGAGAGAAATACTTTGATGACTGTCACTCTCTCTCTCTCCTCCCACAACAATCAACTGTGCGCTATTTCAAGCCCCAAGTAGGTCCACTACACCCTTTTTTATTTGCTTATTTTATATTCGGAAAAAATAGAAAATGTTTTGGAATTTTAGGGTTCTACAAGAAATGAAAATAAATGCAATGGGTTGTTTCTTGTATTTAATTTAATACTTGCTTTTTCTCAGGTAATTTTATTGTTGTAGGTTTTTGTTGGGAAATGCTGGCATAGGCCCACTAGCCTACAGCAACATATGAGCCCAACAGCTCATATTCTGACGGACACGACCTCATTTTGCATTTTAATTTTAATTTTTTTTTCTACAAATCCAAATCACGTTAAATTTTAGACGTCCATTCTTCTCAACAAGGCGCACCTAATAAAAATATTTAAAAAATAATTCACAAAATATAAATTGGCCAAAATACCCCTGAAAAGCTTCAAAGGTATTTTGATCAATTTATTTTTTACAAAATAGTTTTTTTATATTTTATTGGGGTGCGGTTTGTATAGAGCCGAGGCTCTAAACAATCAAATTAGAGCCCACCTTCAAATAATAGAAATATGGTTTCAATACTTGAAATTTTGTGATAGCCTTAAATTATATTTTCATCTTTAGTTATAAAATTTAAAGCTTCAAACATAGTGTAGATCGAGCCGATCTATGAAAACTTGAAATTCTTAAAAATTGATGGTTTAAAAATGCGCTACAAGATGCACTATTTCCAAAATTTGAAATCCATTTTTTTTCTCATGTCCATGCATCTTGATGTTGAGATGATCAATTTGATGATATATGGGCATCAAAACAACCTCTTCTAGTGAAAGTTTTGAGATAGGCTCTAATTTGCTTGTTTAGAGCCTAGGCTCTAAATAAACTCTCCCCTTTTTATTGGATTCTCCTATTTTTATAAAACACATGCCCAAAATTTTATGTTATTTGCATTTACAGAAAATAATTAAAATTCAAATACAAAATACAATTGTAATCATTGGATCGGGCCAGATTGAATTTGGGCCGATCTAACGGACATGACTTCATTTCGTATTTTAATTTTAATTTTTTTCTACAAATCCAAATCATGTGAAATTTTAAGCGTTTATTCTTTTCATCAACACGCACTGAATAAAAATATTAAAAAAATATTTCGTAAAATATAAATTGATTAAAATACCCCTGAAATATTTCGGGGGTATTTTAGTCAATTTAGTTTTCACGAAATACGTTTTGATATCTTTATTGTATTCTAATATTTTTAAAGAACACACACCCAAAATTTCAAGTGCTTTGGATTTATATAAAAAAAATTAAAATTTAAATACGAAATGCATTCGTGATCATTGGATCGGCCCAGATTCAATCTAAGCCGCTATATGTAGCTATAGGCTAGTGGGCTATGCCAGCATTTCCCCTATACATATATATATATATATATATATATATATATATATATATATATATAGTAGTAGTAAGATANATACACGTACACACCGACGTACGTACGTAC